GGAAGAGTTCACAGGTATCTTGAAACATTGCCTCTGACCTTTTTCTCTTTTTTATTTTCTTTAAAAAAAGAAGGAGAAGAAGAATGAAGAAGTTAACAGCCCTGAAGTATCTTGGCAATTAATGAACAGGATTTCAGCCTCTCTCCCTCATCATTTTCTCACACTTTGGGACAGGCAGGATATTTTTAATTTGCAACCGTTATTTCAATCTGTCATAAAAATAATTCTCAAAAAGATTGCTTTTGTTCCAGCTATACTGTAATTGTAAGCTATGTTTTATTTTTTAACTGAGGAAAACATGCAAAGCCCACTTCATGTAAAGAAAAGGGGGGAAATCTGAGTGTGGTATTTTGTTTGTTTATATTTGATGGTTTGATATTCACTAGTCCTGAAAAATTTATTAAGTGGAGCAAAAATGACATTTTGAAGTATTTGGAAAGAATGATGAGCTTTACATTTTTCTTAGACATATTTACTTTGCTGTGGATTATTTTTTTCCAGATGTGGAATGCATGTGAAGAACAGGTAGATTTTTGTTTTACGATTATTCACCCTAAATTTAAGGCATAAAGCTGAGATAAGCAAGTATGTGCCACCCATGTGGCATATACTTTTCCTATTTTAATTCCTGTAAGCTCCAATCAGCATGGTTTATGGTCAAGGAATTATTGGCGTTGTAGCGCAGAATATCTAGAAGGCACTAAGCCATGGGACCCTGCATTAAGCCGTTCCCCCAGAATATCTTTGGGGTTTTAAGTGGGGTCCTAATGCATATTACTCTTACATTTCTTGGTATATAACTCATTCTTTTGGCCGCACCTTATTTATTGTTAACATTTAGATACTCTATTTTTTCTTAAAGCTGCCAAGACTCAGAGTTGTTCTGGGTTATTTTGTGGAATTTTGGAAAGAATGAAGGGGACCACTGCACATGGATATGTATTTTCTGTCTTCATCTTTCTATCACAGCAGTGGATGTTCATAAACTTTCATGGTATGCTGACCCAGCAAACAGGATTGCCTTCCCAAGGCTTACCTTGCCATTTAGTAACATGTGCATTTAGTTATGCTGGCCAAAATTTTAGTATTCTTTCAGAGAACTGGAGACTGTAAAGCCTGAAGCTGCTTTTAAATAATTTTTAAAATCTAGTTTCATATCACAACTTTTACTCCCAGTTAACTTCCAGTCACTAGTTTGGATTTATCACTAAAGTAAGGTATAAACAAATCATGATAGAAACAGCAAAGCAAGCTTTCAAGGAGTAGAAGAGGAAGCGTGTCTTTATTAACCTGAGATCATTGCATCTGAAGCAGTCAATCTGAGTGCAGAAATATAAATAAATATTCTGATGCTTCTTTTGTAAACCTTTCTTGAACCACTGCTTCCAGAATTATAAAATTGACTGCTTGAAAATTATTATTGTTTATTGATGGGATAGCCAAGGATGAGTCTCTGAAATAAACTTATTCCATGTTGTATTTAAATAACATATACTATTATGCATATTGCATGTAGAATTATTCATGGTGTCAGGAAAGCCAACAGACATTTATCTTTCTCCCTCTCAATACTAATACCCAACTTTAGCTAATGAAGCTGAATGGTGGAAGATTCAGGGCAGTGAAAAGGAAGTACTGCAAACTATGCATATAATGAACCTGAATGCCACTATGGAATATGTTGTGGTGGCCACCAACTGGAACAGCTTTGGAAGGGTATTAAACAAATCCATAGTGGATAAGCCTGTCCTTGGCCACTAGGGGAGCCTGCGCTGCCTCCGATAGCAGAGGCAATATGCCTGCATATGTGGGTTATTGGGAGAGATGGCCAGGGATGTCTAAGGAGCTCATATCCTGCCTTTGGAATTCCTGCAAGCATTTGGCCATCCTCAGTGGGTGAGATACGTCTGATATCGAAAGTCCCTTTTCTTTGTACATGAGTTTATATGAAGCTAAAGAAAGGAAGAAATGAAGGCTGTACAGTTTTGCTTTTAGACATGAATACCGTTGAGCATTCACCACTTTGTCAGTTTTGCTTGGACAGTTGCTCTCCTCCTTTTTCACACTGTAGGCTTTTTATTGTTATCGCAGGATGTGAGCCTACAGAGCGAATACTTCTGGGAGTGTTAATTTGTTTTTATCTGTTTCCATGAATTAGCACATTAAACAAAATGAACCATGTACACTAGGGGAAGGTTTGCTTTGTATGTTCAGTATTGTGCTTTATACCCTTCCTTCCTTCCTTCCTTCCTTCCTTCCTTCCTTCCTTCCTTCCTTCCTTCAGGAAAAGAAGTTGGTTTGCCTTTGCAGAGTTTGCTATAATGTCATTACATATTTAGTATAGGTACTTAGAGTCCCATCTTTCATAGTCTTCCAATGGAGAGAAGTAGTAGTGGTGGGAACAGTCTTATCTCTCCTGCTTCTCCCACTCTGCCATCATTTTTTATGATGGCCAGCTTTGACCTTCTAGCTGGAATGTCTTTAATGAGGAAGAAAAGAAGCTAGAGTGCCTTCAAGATACCTCATACCCCAGTTGCACCAGAATCCTTCCTGAACCACTTCTTGATGCCTACCTCTAAGATGGTTTCCCAATAGTGGAGAGCAGCTGGTGTGATTCTTTTTAAGCCAGCTACAAGTAGGTGAGGAAGGGCATCAAAGTGCAGTCTCCAACCTCGGATGTGAGAATCCAAAAACTCCTGTGGCCCCTCAGACAAAGTCTGGGGACTGTAGGATCCTTCTCATTAGGTGCAATGAAGTCTTACAGAATTATACCTACAGGTTTCTGCTCTGAGGGAATTGCACTATAAAAGACAATCAGGAAAATAGAGGGAAGTAAGGAAAAATGGGGTGGGGAATGTAAGAACGTCAGCATGTATTTTTACATGTACTTAAATCTTGGGCTTTTGTCTTCTGTACATTTTGCGCAGGGAAAAAACATTAAAGTTTCAAGCTAGTAATGCCTTGATTGTGTACTGTTTTTGGAAGCAGATAGATTTGGCTGAGTCAGGAGGAGTCTGAGTTCCAGAGATGAAGATAAAATCTGTCCAAATCAGTGCAGCGGTCCAAATAAAGGCAGGATCATAAATGTTGTCCAGGATTTATTTACGTATTTATTTTAGACTTCCAGCATTTCAGCTCTTATCAGATCTGACATACTTGGCAACTTTCTCTGCAGCTACAGTAGCACCAAACCCAGACAGGGCTAGGTTTTTCTGTATCCATGGAGAAAAAGTACAATGAAGAGGTGACGCAGAATGGCAGAGGAGAGACACTTTTCCTAACAAACTTCTGGTTTCCCGAGCTGCTGCCTGTTTTTCACAGTAGAATGGAACACGCTCATGGCCCCCACACCATCTCCTAACCTTCTAAGAAATATTTAAATGTAGAGTTAAGAAACATTTTGTTGTCAGTTCTGTCCATTTGCAAAGGGTGGGGGGGTGGGAGACGGCATGAAAAGGCATTTGGGTGAAAGGTTTGAAAGCACATTGCATGTTTCTTCTTGAATTTTGCAAGGGACATCATGTAGGTCAGTTACTAGATTTATACTCCACTTTTTCTGCAGAGAGTTCAGAGGAACATAAACAGTTCTAAGATGATCTGTTAACCCCGCAGTTTACAAAATAGCTCTATTTAGCTTCAGAAACAAAATGGGACTTATGCTTTTCAATTTTTATATAAATGATCTGGAATGAGCAGTGAAGTGACCAAGTTTACTAAAGCCACTAAAGTATTGAGGGTGGTTTAAATAAAAAAGGGATTGTTAGGGAGATCCAAAAGGATCCCCCTAAACTGGGAGAATAGTAACTGTGGTTTAGTGTAAGAAAGTGTAAAGTTTTGACACAGTGGCAAACCAAGACCAACTTCAAATATAAGCTGATGGGTCTCTTGTGGTTGCAGTGGACAACTTAGTGAAAATGTCAACCCCAGGTGTAGCTGCTTTGGAAAAGGCGAATTCCATGTTAGGGATAATTACTAAAGGAAATGCAAATAAATCGACCAATATAAGACTGGCCTCATGGAAGTCTGTGGTGCAAACACATTTGAAATAGTATGTATAGTTCTGATCTGATATTGTAGAGTTGGAAAAATGCAGAAAAGGGCAGCTCACATGGTTAAGGGACTAGAGCAGCTCTCCTATAAGGAAAGTATACAGTAACTGGTACTGTTTAGCTTAGGAAAAAGGGTTGGTAAGTGGAGACTTAGTTTGCAAAATTATGCATGATTTGGAGGAGGAGACATTTTTCTCCCACTCTAATAATACTAGAACATGGGAAGATCTCAAAGATGCCGCAAGATCCAGAACAGACAAAAGGAAGGAAGAGGCTCTCAGTGGCTACTAGCCTCGCTGGCTGAGTGCCGCCTCCTTGACCAGAGGTGGCCTGCCTGCCTACACCAGTTGCTGAGGAACTTGGGCAGAATGAGGTCTTGCATCCATCCCGCTTGAGCAATCCTGTGGGCAGCAGTTTTGCTACCATGTGCATGGAGTGCTGGACTAGATGGACCTTTGGTCTGATCCAGCGAGGCTTTTCTTACGTTCTTAAAAGGAAGCACTTCTTCACTCAATGCACAGTTAAAATTTGGCATTTGCATCCACAAATGCAGTGATAGCCATGAATTCGGCTGACCTTAAAAGGGAGATTGGAGACGTCCTTGATGGTGCATAGGGTTATCAATACCCTCTAGCCCTGTTCTTTATGCCACCTCCAGTATCAGAGGCAGTGTGCCTGTATTCACCACTTGCAGGGAGCATGGGCAGAAGGTGATGTTGCGCCCAAGTCCTACTCGTGAGTTTCCCATGGGCAGCCAATGGGTCACTGTGTGAACAGAATGCTGGACTAGAGGGCCCTCTGGCCTGATCCAGCACGTCTCGTACGTTCGTTCTACCCCACCCCTTTTGTGTAAGTGTCATAATGATTCACACAGTTTTCTACACAGAGGGGAGAACCCACACAATTACTGTTCATTTTGACAAGTTAGAATTTTTGCTTTGTTATTAACAGGTTTGGCAAACATCGGAAAGATGACAAGATTGAGAAAATAAAAGTGCAGGAAGCTGTTACATCAGAAGAGGAGAGAATACGAATGAAGCAAGAACAGGAGAGGTAGACCTGAGTCTTTTGCTTAAACCTTGTTAGAGAATATTTTTACACTTGGTATTTTTAGCTGAAAATTTACATTCTGCTGCAGTTCGGTTTTGGTCAACTTTAGATACAAATTTATTCGTAGAGCTCACATAACTCATGGGAGGAAGCAGACGTTATATTGGACAGTAGAAACATAATTTGTCTACATTCAGAGGCTGTTATGGCAACCAGGCGTCTGTTTCACAATTTGTTTTGTTTCCCCACCCCTCCTTTACAGGGGCAAGTGAAGTAACAACTACACCTGTGCTAGAACTGATTGTCTAGACACTTCCAAAAATATTAATATTTATATGAAATTGGAAATAAATTGTGTATCTTTTCCTGAAATACCTACTTTTGTTGCAAGTTGATTTTATATTGTGTCATAACTTGAATTTAAACCTTGATCACTGGAAATAAATGTTGTCACTGGAGATAACCTTTTCCTGTTGTCATGGAGTATTGTCTAGATTACACTGCTGGCTGACACATGACTAGTGATGCTTGCTGGGATATGTACCCCACATTTTGTACTTATGCTTTTGTCTCCTTTTGTCCAGTTCCACATAATGATGGGTTCAGTTTTCCCAGACACCAGTTGGTCAGGCTAATGCTCCGTGTCCCGTCCCACGTGCTGACAAAACTTCCTCCTGATTCCCGTGCCCTCACTCACTACTGTAGGGGGTGCAAACCTTCATTCAGCCCAAGGTTCAATTCCATTTCGGAGAAGCTTTTGGGAACTGTGAATGGGACCCAGGGCAAAAAGGGTCCAAGCAAAAGTAAAAATGCCAGCTTATTTTACTTTAAAGCTCATAGTTCTCAGTATCTAAGCCTTAAGAAAGCCATGTCAACTTTTTAGAATGGGGAAAGAACTCTATGAAAGTTGGGAAAGTACAAAATGATTGATGGTTCGGAAGAAAGAAGTGGAGCCAGAGAACAGGATGTGGCTCTCTAGGGAGCCCCAAGTGGCCAGATTTGGACCAGGCCAAAGGTTTGGCACTCCTGCACTACCATGTACGGTAATTCTTCACTCATGACCAGGTTTTGTGCATGGAATTGCCTTCTTCACTGCAGCAGTCAGAGAGGCTCATATTTGCTAGGAGCTTTGCATCTATAGATTGATGTTCTCATATGCATAATGGCTGTCTGGATGAGGGTTCATTGCTACAATCAGGCACTGAATTAATTTAATTCCTATAAATGCAGAAGCCCAAACACATGACTGCAGCCCCAATCTGTCACTTCCAAAGCCCTCCCAAATCACATTGAAGCCAATTAACCTGATTAGCTTTATGATGTAACCATTCATTGTAAAATGCTGCCATTATACCCACAACATTTTACTGTATTAGAATGAAGTTAAATATTAACTATGATGGTTATTTATAATTCTAAAAATATTAATAAAAAACAGGTCACATACTAATTGCAATCTGCTGCACAACTGACGTTAATGAGGTATACCAGTTTAGATTTGTAAGTTTAATTGCACACTGAACTGCAATTGGATCCCTTTTTTTAGTTGGGCCATTAAATTATCTTAGAATACAAATATGCACTTAGTTAATTTTAGAAGCAGAACTATACATGTCTACTCATTACATTGTTGGTTTCAATCAGAAAACTCTTAGTACTTTATGCTGGATGTAGGCCAGCAGTTTTAAAAATTATTTCAGTTCGAGCATAAAGTAATTTCCTAGGCTAGGATCCAAAGAGGCCTGTTTGTGTATGTCTGAAGCACTTTTGCAGGCTGGTCATTTTTTGCTCCCAGCAACAGCCCTTGTGCCTCATAGGCACTGTTGCAGAGAGAGAATCCCAGATCTTGAGGCAGGCTTTTCGGGGGAAATGGGCACTGTGAAAAAGAATTGGCAAACCCCTGCTGTCTTCTATTAAAAGTGCATCTTAAAGTATAAACATTTGTGACAGAAACTGCTGAAGCTGAAAGAAAGGCTATATTTTTCAGTGTCTTTTAAATAAATTTGTAGCTGTTTCTTCATATTTATTTCTTATTGTAAACTGTAAGAATAAATCTGTGTCATTAGCTTGAAGTTTGTCAGCAAACTGTGAAAGAACTTGGTAGTCAGTCCTTGGTAAAAAATGTTTAACTTTACTTCATTAAGTACTTATCTGCACTCTAATGAATATTTTACTGATTTCCACTGAGTATGCAACAGGGGAGCTACAGCTGATCATGGCTCACCCAGTGAACATATGCATTGTTTCATTCATACTTCACATATTTAAGGGCACATTTTATCATTCTTAGATGTACAGCTAAAATTTAATGTTTGGAAGCCACTCTAAAGAGGTAAGGTCATGCTTTTCTTTCTGGTTTCTGTGAACGGGAACTTAATATTAGCATGTAATTAGTGTCACTGTATTGAGCATATTTTGCCTGGTGTAATTGCTCTAAAGGAGCAATCCTGTGACCCCTAGACAGCATCTGAAGGGCCACAGGATATTTCAGATTTCCGTCTACAACTCTATCCCTGTTGCAACTAGCATGGAAAGAACCATACTGGTAGTCTCTCAGAGGTTGGAAACACAAGCTCAAAGAGGAGTAAAAGGGATGAATTGATGGTCAGAAAGGGGAAGGGATGGAGAGGCCAAGGTATGAGTTATTCTGAGGCCATTCCAACCTCTTCCCCTTCCCCTCTGAAACATTTTCATTAGACTGACAAAAAGGACCATCTAGTGTAAATTCAGGGCACACCACCCCTGCACAGATGTTTGTCACCTTCTAAGTTTGGGAGCTTGGCAGCTTCAAGGGCATAACCGTAGACTTGCAGCCTTAATGACTTCGTGCCATGGCCCTGCATGATTGCTTGGGCTGTGCAGGCTGGGGATCTTCTTCCTTTAAGCTTCAGTGACAATGTAACCATTTACCTCATGCTTTATTGTGCTAATTCAGGCACAGTCTTGATATGAACATGTTCGTGCTGCCCAGGGAAAGCAGCCATGGGTTGGGCACTCAAGCATCGGATCTTCCCCACCTTCAAGTATTTCAGGGAGGAGGAAAATACTTTTGTAACGTGCCCAGTCCTGGGGCCTCTCAGACAGACTGCTGATGTGAGGTTACCCCTGATCCATCCGTAGAGTGCTTTCTTCTAGTACTTATTAGTGTCAGTAGTACCCAGTAGTAGTACCCATAAATTACATGTGGGTAATTTATGCAGGTGCTGGCAGAGAATTTCTGCCTTTTCCTCATGTCCTCTAGCTAAAGGACCTGCAGTAATTGCTTTCTTACTTAACAAAGCCAAAACCTATTGTAATAAGTGGCTGCAGAATGTCTAACTGTCTCTCTCCCAAAATTTGCTTTAGAGCACTTTCACTTCAGATGAGGTCTAAATCTTTCCAAAGTGGCCTGCTTTGGTTCAAGCTTAATTCGAATCAGATGCACAGCCCCAGGGCAGGGATGACTGTTTTTGTGGATCACTGTCAGTAGAAGATGAGGGCTAATAGGAAGTAGTAGAAGATAAGGACTAGTTGGAAGTCTTCTGTGCATTGATATATGTCGCAATAATGCTATTATATTTGGCATAGGAGATGCCAATCTCTCTAGGCCTCTGCATGGTTGATTGCTTCATGGCATTTAATGGCAGGTGGTGACCATGTTCTGGGTTTGAGATACACTCTGCTTGTTTGGGTGGGGCCCAAAGAAAACAGGTTTATTTTTTGTTGTAACCAGAAAAAATGTTTGGAGTGTTTGCAGCTAGCTATCAAGGAACAGACAGACTAGTACTGTGGGGGTAACAGACAGGTTCTCTCTCTGCTCAGCTAATCTATCTATAGATACATTTTTAAATGCAAGTTACAATTACTGTCCAATAACAAAGGAAATAACCCTCTGGAAAGGCTATCCCAAAGGTTACTCTTGCTTAGAGAAATAAGGAGTGCAGAAGAGCATAATAAAAAGTATCTTACATGGCTATAACTTTGAGCATCCCTGAAAAAAGCCAGTTACTGGAATCTAGTAAAACATTTCACGTTGAAATAGACGCTTGTTCTTACTACATTTGTTTTTATCTTTCTTTTATTCTTAATGGCTCAGGTCACTTAATCTCAGTTTTACTTGGTCTTTGAATCACTACACCTTTAATGATGAAATGCACAGGGGAACCAGGTTGGGTATAATGAATTTATTGTATGTAGCAGAAATGCAACAAAAATCCGCAGGGGTCAGAGAACAAGTGGATGCTCCATTAAGAAATCAATCAAGGCCACAATTATATAAAATTATTCTGCCCTGACTCTATCATTCTAATAGTATTTTGCTTGCATTGTATTTTGCTCAAAGTCTTGAAAGTATTTTGTTCATATTGATTAGAAGACAAGCAAATTAATGTAGCTTAATTTTCCATTGAATGGATTCAATTGAATAAAGACTGCCATTTTATACAGTGGCACTGCATTTTTGTGAATACTATTTTGTATAAAGCCCAAATCCCTCAGCATTTCCTGGTGTATCCTGGATGCCTCAAAAAGAATTTTTAGAATAGGAGATTTTAAAAGGTGCTAAAATGTGGGAAATATTTATATGGTAAATGTGTTGGAGTAATGGGAGTAAATATCAATCAGATGCTACATTTGGCTTGAAATTCCATAAAACAATATAGCTCTGTCCTATAAAAATATTCCATTAATATGACAGTGCTCCAAATACTGAATCAACTTACATTCAGTGTACAGCAGAAGTATCACTGCATCTACGTTAACAAAACAGCAACTTTTTAAGTCCTTTGTAGAACGATGGTGGGTGGCTGGGAGCCATCTAGGTATTTTTATCCATAATTCATGGCATCCCTCAGCATTGACTATGCTGGCAGGACCAATGGGAATTTGTAACCGAAACATCTGCAGGCCACAGGTTGTAACTCCTGTTGTAGAAGGAACTGAAACAAGAAGATGTGGTTGATTTCTCTCTCACTTCTTTTAAGGAACTTATCAAGATTTGTTCCAAGTACAATTTTACTTTCGTT